ACACACAACGCAATATTCTATTTAAAGGTAAATATATGTATATATTGTATACAGTGATGCAAATTCCGCTACTTTTGCAGCACGATGTTGTCGGAGAGGGGATAACGCACACAAGCGAGCAGCCGTGTCCGTGTGCGCCCGGCGCAGTGCCCCTCTCCGACAACATCGTGCTGCAAAAGTAGCGGAATTTGCATCACTGATTGTATATCTGAAGTACATATTGGGAGAAGGGAAACACTGCGTGTGCGTGTGCGTGTGCGTGTGTGTGTGCTCAATCAATGTATTGTATGTTTGTTTTAGAGGTATTGCCTATCAACCGTGAACATTAAAACTGAAACGAAAACTCTACAATGTCGAAGTATAACAAGAATTTTAGAGATTTAAGTGCATCGTATAAAAGACGACAATTAGCATTAATACATTTAAAGCATAATAACAATGTCCATTTGGATATGGATAAATATAAACTTAAAGTTGAAAGTGATACTGGTAGTACAAGTAACATTCCGCAGGACATAGATGAATTATATTCAAATAACAATGAAAATAAGGATATAAATGTAAATCATAATTTAATTTGTGAATATAGTGATGATGATCAAAATGTACTTAATAATACAACAATACAGAAACACAGTATAGAACAGAATTCTGAAGATACTATCAATTGTATACAAAATACTGATAGTATACAATGTAAATCGGAACAATCATTCGCTCTGGCATTGCGCACTGTATTTTTAACACATAATATTAATCATACTCAAGGTAATGCGATCTTGAATGTTTTAAAGACACATCATTGCTTTGCTCACTTACCAAAATGCAATAAAACTTTTTTGAAAACTCCAAAGATCGTAAAATGCAATATTATACAAATAGGCACCGGTGAATATATTCATATTGGAATTCAAAAGACTCTTGCACAAAAATTATCACATATCCAAATTAATCAATTACCTGACGAATTAGAAATAAATTTTAGTATCGATGGTGCAAAACTTGATAATTCTTTACAAATTTGGCCAATTCAACTTATAGTTGCAAATATTTCTGATAGAAGACCTATTTTAGTTGGTGTTTATAAAGGAAAACAAAAACCTTGTAATCCACACTTATTTATGAACTATTTTATTGAAGAATTTCTTGCTATTATAGAAAATGGAGGTATAAATATTGAACATCGGACAATTCCTGTTAAAATTAG